CCAATTTTTAAGGAAGGAAATCGAAGAGCTCAACTCCACAATTGGATCACAGAAGGCAAATCGAATCGATGGCGACGAAGAGGTGAACAACGTGCAATCTGAAATCCGAAATTTGGAAACCGAAATTTCTGGCCTTCAGGAGCGATTAGACGGATGGAGTGGCAATAGGATAGCCTTAGCAGAAGAAGTCTCTACTGCCAAAGAATCTTTGGAGAAGTTGCAGGATGAGAGAAAATTGCTACGAAGAGAGGACGAAAAACTTCACTCGGTCATAGAGGATGCTCGCAAAGAAGTACTTCAAGCCGAGTCGGAATTAGCAAAGACCATGGATAGCGCCACATCTCGGGGTTTAGCCACTGTCAGACGTCTCAAGAAGCAGCACAACATTCAAGGAGCATACGGCACTCTAGCAGAACTCCTTGAAGTCGAAGATATTTATCGAGTAGCTGTGGAACAGACCGCCGGTAGCAGTCTTTTCAATTACGTCGTTGATAACGAAGAAACCGCAACCCAACTTATTAATGCTTTAAATGCGGATAAGGGCGGAAGACTTACATTTGTTCCTTTGAGCCAACTCAGATTCAAACCAGGTAACTTGCCAAATGCATCTGATGCCATACCTATGTTGAGCAAGATTCGGTACGACAAAAAGTATGAACCAGCCTTTGAGCAAGTATTCGGTAAGACCATCGTTTGTCCTAACCTCACAATTGCTGCTCAGTATGCAAGAAGTCACGGATGTAATGCCATTACACCAGACGGTGATACTACAAATAGGAAAGGTGCCTTGACTGGTGGATATCTTAATCCAAAGGAATCAAGACTTCAAGCTGTTCGTGCACTGACCAAATGGCGAGATGAGTACGAAACTTTGAAGGTACGACAAGATGAGATCAGACAGGAAATTGAGCAAAAAGATCAAGAAATCACCGCCGCTTATACTGAAGAACAAAAGGCTAGTCAAAAGGAGCACAAACTTGTTGACGGCCTGGATCCATTGAAGTCAGGGCTGAGATCCAAACAAGCGCACCTTGAAAGACAGAAGGCGCAGCTTGAACAACTTCTTCGCAATCAAGCAGATGTTCTCAAATTGTTGAAAGATCATGCCGCTAAAATTGCTGATTACGAAGTAGAAATTGCGTCCGATTTCAAGAAGGCATTGACGGCCAATGAAGAACGACAGCTTGAGCAACTCAATGCTTCCGTCCAGGATCTACAAAAGCAATGGAATGAACACAGCAGAAGTCGAAGAGATCTCGAGAGCCGTAAACAGATGATTGAGGTTGATCTCCGCGAGAATCTTAGACTCAGGCTTGATCAATTAAATAGTCAAGAATTCGATCTTGCTACAGGTAGTGGTTCTGGTAATTTGAAAGAATCCCAAAGAGAATTGAAGCGTATCACCAAGGCTTCAAGTGCTGTAGAGTCAAAGCTCAAGGAAAATGAAAAGCAATTGGAGGAAGCCGAATCAAACATCAACAATTTGGAACAGGAGAGGAGTCGCCAAGAAGACGAGCAGAATAAGATTGCCGCATTAATTGAGAAGCACCAAAAGAGGATGGAGAAGAGTATTGCTCGAAAGGCCATCCTTACCACTAGTGCTGCAGATTGCGCCAAGAACATTCGCGACTTGGGTGTCTTGCCTGATGAAGCATTCGAAAAGTATAAGGACTATGATCCAAAATCCGTAAGCAAACTTCCACGATAATCTATTTATCCTGTGCACTAACATTTTTAGATTCAATCTCGACTCAAAAAGGTTCAAGAAGCTCTCAAGAAATATAAACACGTTAACAAGAAGGCATTCGAACAATACAATCAATTCACAACTCAGCGTGATAGTTTGACTAAGCGTAGGAAGGAACTTGATGATTCCCAATCATCAATTCAGGAACTCGTTGAAGTCCTTGATCAACGTAAGGATGAAGCCATTGAGCGAACATTCAAGCAAGTATCTAAGGAGTTTGCCCAAATTTTCGAGCGTCTTGTCCCAGCTGGTCGCGGCCGTCTTGTTATTCAACGTAAAACGGACCGTCGTGCTAGAGAGGAAGAAGATTCGGATGAAGAAGCACGGGATAGTGTTGAGAATTATGTTGGTGTTGGAATCAGTGTCAGCTTCAATAGTAAACACGACGATCAACAACGTATTCAACAATTATCCGGTGGACAAAAGAGTATGTTATTCCCCTCCGCAGGTTTTTTATCCAGTATACTAATTTGCCTTCCCTGTAGGTCTATGCGCCCTCGCTCTTGTCTTTGCGATTCAACAATGTGACCCAGCTCCTTTCTATCTCTTTGATGAAATTGACGCAAATCTTGATGCCCAGTACCGTACCGCTGTAGCTCAAATGCTCAAGGAAATCTCAGCTAAACAATCACAAGCTTCTCAGTCGCAAGATAACTCAGATGAAGAATCTGATAACGATGAAGATGGCGAAGGTGGTTCTAAGAAACAAAAAGTTATGGGTGGACAATTCATTTGCACTACATTCAGACCAGAGATGGTGCTAGTGGCAAATAAATGTTATGGTGTTACTTTCCATAACAAGACTAGTGGAATTGGTGTTGTTGGAAAAGAAGATGCGTTGAGCTTCGTCGATGGGGAGGCTCCAAAATAGGTGTATTGAGAGGGAAGCTTTCGGTTTTGATATGTGTATTAGGAGATAGTGATTCGGCGTTACTTTTGTTGTGATATCTTCTCCTAATTACAATTGAAATGTGTAATTTATTGTATTTAGCTTTGGCTTAATGTGCTTCATTGGAGGGGAAGAGGATGGATATCTTGCGGTGAAAGGTGGGCCGTGTTAGGAAACACTTAACGCCAGGCTAGTGATGAGCGAAGTGTTGTATATGAACTTCAATTAAGGATTGTTAAGATTTTGTGTGTCATAATGTACCATTCTCTTCGAGTTCATTCTATGTGGGTTGCAAACGCTCATATACATACCTGACAATCAAACAATATGATTGGGTTTTGTCCCGTCTCTATTGAACACATTAGCTGGTATATTGGAAGAAGGAACTGGGTCGTACATCAATTTTGCGGTACCTAGTCTTGTGTGAATGATCTGCGGAAATCTGTGAATGATTCACCAGTATGAGCGGAGACCAGGCTGAGTTGGCAAGCTTGTTCGGTTGATTGATGAGTACACGGGTACAAAAGGCAATAGGTACTTTGAGCATCGACAAGAACTCTCAAACCACACCACAATTACCTGTTTTTTCTTCAAACGGTACTATCTCTGAACCCGTTCACGGAGTTGATTGAAGATGCAGTTCGACATTGACGGGTCGGTATTCAGGCTTAAAGGGTTTAGTTTGGCGATTATCAATAGTGATAAGCGTTCTCCTATAACAAGGTTCTGTATTTAAAAGAGGAGATCTATTGTTGTCAAAATAGTTATCATAGTTGCCGTAACTTACATATTGTCGTCACTGAAAGTCATCACCAGATATGATGTGGAGGAGATTCACCAGGAAAGATGAGTGCAATGTAGATGGGTTTGCCGGTTGAATGGAGAGCAAAGATGCTGGATCTTCCTCTACTGAGCTTACGTTGAAGTGGGAAGCTCATCTATTGAGATTTTCGACATCGGCATGCGATTTTCGAACTTGATGTTCCGGCCCAAACACACCAAACACACCACCCATACCTCTCACTCTCTTTCTGTATAAATCTCCAGTTAAAGTATAATTAATTAGCCACGTTTGTGAGATCCAAGGAGCCAGCAGACCATGAATAGGCGAAGAGCGCAATTTCTTGCAAAGCTTTGCTTCAAGTTCAAATCCACGGTGCACTCCTAAGTTGTTTCTAAAGTGTGCCTGAAAGCAGGTTCCCATTTGATGTCTTTCGAACAGCAATTTTCACTACCGTCTCTTCGTTGTTGCTGTCAAATTCCTTTTCAGAAATCAAGGGATATTCACTCAAGACGAGAGTCTCATTTGCCGGCATTGATTTCTTTCCGAATCCTCAGACATGTATTTCAAAAGCTCATGCAAGTCGCTAGAAACTCATTGAACACTACGATAATAAAGGTTGAGTTTTGAAAGTATGAGCATTTCAAAGAAGTAGGATCGTTGCCTGCCATTATACAACAAAAAGTTTGAATAATCGTTTGCTGTGTCATCACTTAATCATTATCACAAAATTTCGGGATTTGACAACAACTACTTAAGTTCTTCAAGAAGCAGTATTGATTATTTTTCATTAAAACAACGACGTCAAAAGAAATGGTGTTATTCTCTCCTCGCTAATGGATCTCCTTCCTCTCACGTAGCTTTTCCCCTACGTATGTGCCGTGCTTGGCACAAACGCACCCCTTTTTTCCGTCCGCCTATGCACTCAACCCCTCCAGTGCCCACTCGATCCTGTAACAATCCCTTTTCCCAAAAAGCTTACGGAACCTCTCATCCTGAATACCGGAGTAGAAGCAAAAGGTAAAAGAAAGCAGATGAAGTAAAGTAAAATACCCAAATCTCACGCCCTTCCTATTAATAAACAGCAAGAAATAAACTCATCGATGAGTCCCCCAAGAGTTGTTCGTGTCATTACTACCCTTGAACGTCTAATGGTTGAACTGACTTCTGTACTTTCTTTTCTGACTGTGTTATCTGTTCTTGTGATAATGAAAATTGTTGAGGATTAGGCGATTGTGATTGTGATGATGATTGATTCGATGTTAAGTTTGATGCATTGAGATAATAATGTTATGATGATTTTGGTGTGAAGCGTCATTTAATTTTCTGTCATCTCGGGGATAATTTGAAGTGTAGATGTGTTGTTAAAATGGTCCATGTTATCCGTAGTAAACGTATGTGATGTTGAAACGGAGCTCGTGTAAGTCTCTGAAGATGTGCAAACTTGGCGGCCAAAAAAAAGGGATTCGATGAAAATAAGAGTTCCGTGGTGGTAAAAAAAAAGGAAGGATGATAATAGTTTCAGTAAGCAATTTGCATTCATGATAGAAGATGACGGGGCGAGCATTTCTGCTGCTTTCTTCTTAATTAATCGGGCCCTCAGTTGTCCAAAGTTCCACGCTAACGTCGAATGTTTTGAAATCTGCCCAAGGAACTTGTTCGCTAGTCACCTCGCAACAGAACAATTCATCTGTTTGGGTGCAATTATCTCTTCCTGTTCTTACTTGTGGTAGCAGGTCTTCTACATACGCAGTCTGATGCTCCTCTTCTTTGGGTTTCATTTCCTTGGCGACGTATTCGGCAGCAGCATGATTCGCCATTTCCAAAACCGTGTACAGTTTGCTCGAGTCTGCAAATCCAGCAGTACGGTATGTCATACAGACTTTTTGAGTTTCAGGGTCAATTTCCTCAACGACCTTCTCGAATCGGATCGTGTAGTATTTATTGGCAAACATCGGGCGTACCAGTGTTGGATCGTATCTGTCAATGTCTTCGGTGTTCATCGGCTTTAATGTGACAAAGACCTTGGTAATCTTCTCTTCGTCGTGAATGACTTGGCCATGATACGTACGGTCGGAATTCCACTTCTCCAGAATCTCCTGCTGTCTGAACATTTTGGTTCTGTATTCGTTGACAAGCGTCTGTGCATGCTTGTTGGCCTTTTCAAGATCAAAGAACTTCTTCTTGAGAATTGCTTCGTCCTCATATTCGCCAAGCGTTACTTGTGTCATAACCATATATAAATTGACCATTTTATATGATACAGGCTCTTGGGACTTGGCAGACAATGTTCTGGCCATTTGACTCGGCGCTGGAAGTAACGTTGATTGGGTTTCTAGACCACTAGAGGATCGTGGAGCGGATTGCCCCTCAAAGTATCTCGTCATATTTGGCATTGGTGGGACGATCTGCGCATTATGTTCATCGGGGTTGAGTGTAGCGGTTGCTTCTTGAGACTCTTCTTCGACATCTGGATCTTTTTCCAAATGATCTCTCATTTCTTTCTCGAAAGCAATCTCTTCCTCAGTCAGAGTTTCTGATTGGATCCCATCGTCATTCTTACCAGCCTTTGTAGCCTCAGCAAGAGCATTATTTTTTCGATTGTGTTGCATTATCATTTCCAGAGTTTCATCATCAATCGGATCCTCTTCAGACTCTTCTGACTCGTCCGAGTCGAAAAGTGGTTCCAGTTTCTTCACTGGCTGTGGTTGGGTACGTCGAGCTGCATAAGATTGCGCCCGTTCTTTCAATACCTCGGCCGTTTTGATTTTATGCTCTTTCAGATCACGAGTCAAAGAATCATCATCTTCTTCAACTTGATTAGAATCACTAGCAGTATCGGAGGATGAGATATGCGCCGCGGCCAAACCAGAATCATTAGGTATGCTGGTACTACAAGCAGTATCATGTTCATGTTCGTTCGATGAAGTCTTTTCTCCAGCACGTTTTCTTTTTCGCTGCATCTCGCGCTTGAATCGCTGATTAGTGAAAATTTATGACGGTGGATTCGTGTGGAAACATACCTCTCGCTTCTCCATTAATTTGTTAAGCCTAGCTTCAAGCTCAGAATCACCTATTAATCTGCCTTCTTTACGAGCTTCTTCAATCAGTTCTTTTTCTTTCTTCTTGCGATATTCAACTGTTCTCTTTTTCGCAGACGCAGCTTTTTTCTCCTCCAATCTGGCTCTGTTCGAATTTTCCTTCCGAGCCTGTGCCGCAGCCTGGACTCTTTGGCGATTAGCTTCAATTTCCTCTCGCTCTGCTTGCGAAATCAAACGCGTTTCTGGTCTACTTGAAGTATTAGTAGACCTTACTGGCAAGGGAAGAGGGGGAGGTAAAGGCAATGGAAGTGGGCGCGGTTTCGAGACTGTAAGCTCTGTATTAGAGTTTTCGGTTACATTCTGAGGTTCTTTTGGTTGTTCGCGAGGAACGTACCCTTCGGGCTCATGTCCGGGTAGAGGTTGTAGTTTAGCACTGAATATAGAACCTCCGAGTGACTTTGTCAGTGACTGGGTCCGTTTCTTCTTTGACGGGCTTTTTGTTAACACTTTAGGAGTTGCCTGCGTAGCAGCTTTATGAGCAACCGTTTCAGAGTTTGGCTCCGCGGGGATGGACTTGGCTCGTTTTTGCTTGGCAGCTGCACTCTCGTTTGCTCTATTTTTGCGAATAGCTTCACGCTCAGCATCTCTATCTTCAAGAGTCTTGTCACCACTTGGATTGAGAATTGTTTTGGCAAAGATCTCAGTCATACTGGCAGGAGGTCGATCATGTTCTAAGGATTGAACAATTGTCGAATCACTACTGGAGCTTCCTGTGGTACTTTGAAGACCATTCGAAATTTGCTGTTCTGGAGTGGTTTCCACGACTGCCTTTCGATTGTCTGAAACGAACAGTGAATCTTCATCCTCGACTTCGGTGTTTGTTGGAAGTGTGGCCTGAGGAGGTGAAGTCTTTTCTGTGTTTGAAGCATCATCCACAGGTGTTATTTGGGTCTGTGGAGTGGGTAATGAGCCTTCATTATCAACTTCCATGCTTGTTGAACGCGTAACTTGAGGAGGTAGAGAGTTAACTTTGTTTGAGATGGCGTCCACAGTCGTAGACTTTCTCGCAGGCTTCAACTCCGCGATCGATTTTGCTTTGACTTGCGCCTCAAGCTTTTCCAATTGTCGTTTCATTTGCTCAAACTTAACATCATTTTCTTTCCTTTCCTTTTCTGCAGCTTGGGCTTTTTCCTCGGCAGCTTTGGCCACAGCCAAATCCTTTTCTCTCTTCTCTTGTAGTGACTTATTTGCAGCCTTACGTCTCTCATCTGCATTCTGTTGCTCTTTCAAAGATTGATGATGGCGTTCGGCGTCGCGTTTGGCTTTCTTGGCTGCTATCTCTTTCTCCTTCTCGGCCTGCTCAGCTGCTTTCCTCTCGCTCTCTTTCTTGGCTCTTGCTTCATTCTTCTTTCGCTTCCTCTCGGCATCAATGAGATCTTGCTTCTCTTTCTCTTCTCGCAATCTCTGAGCCTCCAAACGTTTAGCTTCCTCATGCACTCTCTTTTCTTCCACAGTTTCGCCAATAACTTCTCCGAATAACTCTTCTTGCAAAGCCTTCTTATCAGCATTGAGTTCTTGTCGGATGATCTTCTCAGCTGCTTGTTGTTGACGAACATTTTCTTCAGGTTGCTCTCCCTTATCAGGGCTAGATTCAATGGCTTGGTGCTGATGAGTATTCTGACCAGGTTGTTGTTCACTTTGAGCGCCAAGATCATCCTGATCAGAGAGTTTCTCGGGTGCCGATACTCTGATCGGGCCCCTTCTCGTTGGAGTCCAGTGCTGAGGTATAAAAGGCATTGAACTGCGGGCACAAAGAGTACTTTCTGGCGTAACGAGATCAATAGTGACCCCCGAATTGTTAGATCTATTTGAATCACTGGATGGAGTTTGATGAACCTGCTCTGCTACTTCGAGATTCTTTCTTCGAAATACACTAGACTTTGGCAGAGCATTTATGAAATTCATGGGACCATTATGGACCCCCACGTGAGACTTGGATCTACGACGAAGATCGTTTTCCAATGGTGTCTCGTAGACATCGTCATCATCAATAGGACCATAATCGATCGTTCGGGCTTGACTTGAATTCTTCTGTGTGCTATCAGACGCAACGGATCTAACTCTCCCAGACTGATTCTTTGGCGTATGGGGAGGTGGCTTCATCGAGTTAGGCTTGTCAATTCTCCCTTGCAATCTGTTCGCAGAGGAAGGTTTGGGTACAGCAAAATCATGGCTTGACCATAATGGCGAGCGAAGTTGGTTCTCCTTCTCCTGTCTCTGGGCTCTGACACTGTACGTACCATTTCCGGTACCCAGATATTGAATATCGCTATTCTCGTTGGATATTCGTGGGGCTAGGCTCTGTGCACGAGATTGAGCATGACGTTGCCTTTGCTTGGGTGTACCGACTGATTCTTTATTGACTCTGGAAGTTTCTTTGCGACCTCTACCAGCTGTTCTGTGAGCATCTGTGTTAGGTGGCATAGATACGTAGGTTGGCTCCTCCTTCATGTACCTCTTAGTTTGAGCATTATTCTGCGGTGAAAATACGCCTTGTTGTCTGTCAAACTGCTGGTTGTAATTCTCCATTATAGCATAACCTTGATCCTCGTATAAGTCTCTTGCACGTGAGCGGCTACGGGCGGTCGACTTTTTACTAACTGCCACGGAATTCTCGACATTTTGGTACCCTTCGAATACATGATTTGTCCTGACCTTATATCGAGCATCATTGCGGGCAACGGACTTATTGCGAGACCGCGAGATCGCCGAGATGTGATCATATACAACCTCCTCTACGTTTGTTGTGCGGCCACGTTCAATGCGACTTGGGTGCTCACTCTGATGTCGCTTCCTTCGGTCATGCGCAGGCTGAGCGGGACTTACCACTCTTTTATGGTTGACCTGCGGTTGTTGCAAGACGACAGGGTATTCATCCGATGAGCTTTCATCGTCTGAAAAGTTTTGATAAAGCTTCATGGGCACGTTCCGACCTCTATGTTGTGAATTAGAAGTTTTTGATTGCTGGTAGTATTGAGGTTGTGGTTCCGGTTGTTCTTGAGAGTGATGAGCCTTTTCTTTTTTGAATCGAGGCTGAGGTTGATTCCTAGAACTGCAACTTGGCAAGGGATCAGGATCCCATGTATCGTCGAGCTCCATTTTCGACATTAATGTTCTGCAAGAATTTATTGAGAAGATGAAAGCGTTAGTGGTGTAGATGAAGTGATGAATTACAGTTTTAGGTGAAAGTCGACAAAGAAAAGTGAGCTGAATGTGTTGGATCTGTCAGGTCGTCAGTAGAAGTTCACAATAAACCTTGAAAGATTGGAAGTTGTTGTGTTGAATAAGTGCGTGACAAGATTTTTGTCTAAAGATGAACAAAAGGGGAGAGAAAGATGGAAGGAGTAGAAGTCGGCACGGCAATACCGAGCTCTGTAATGGTAAAGACCTTATCGAAATATATCATTAGGTACTTCGCATTAAGGAGAGCAGAGGACAAATTGCGTTTTTCGGTCTTTTGATAAAGGAGAAAAAACAACTTACTCCGATTCTGGTGATGCTTTGTAATTGTGGTTGAATTATGGAAAGTGAAGCGACAAAGTTAAGGTATCAAGATTTTAGGAAGACTAGTATACCTTGACTGTTGCGACGATCAGCGCCCCCCAATAGGATAGACTAGTTATGAAGAGCAGCAGGTTGACCGAGAATCATGTAGTCTGAATAAATTTCATGTGGAAATGTAAAACAAAAAGTTAGAAAAAGAAGAGGGGAAATTGCAGAAGAGGAGACCTCGAATAAGACTCAGGGTTCCTTCAAATGAATTAAACGAGATTCGGCTAGGTGAATACATATCAATGTAGATGACCCAAACCACCTTTAGACCGTCACTTACCCCGCTCCTCAACAGAATTAAATTTTTGTATAAAGTTCACAAGGTCAAAACGTGAGAAGAGAAGTGACAATCTTGAGGAGATTATAGCTGAGAATATCTGTTAAGCCTTGTTTCAGTGACTGGAGAATGAAGTTGTCAAAGATTACCACCTACTATTGATATGTTCACAACTTTGAGTGGAGACAGCGGAGCGCTGGAAGCTATCGGCACAATAAAAGCATGCGGAATGGATTACCATTCGTCTGTTACTGTCGTATAAGGAAGGTATCGATAATTATTCTTGGGTCAACAGAGTGAATCATATCATCTTCGGTGTAGATTTCTCAGCGTGACTCATGCTCCCCAACAATTTTGGATTTGATACTTCACAGTAGGTTCCTTTTACGAGAAAGCAATTCTTATGACTTTGCTCATTAGTGAATTGAACTAGACTTTTCGACAAAACTTTGAAGTTGTGATTGTGTGGACACTAGTTATATTCAATACTCATTGATATACCTAGGCATTCAAACCTGTTTCATTCCCATCCATCATTCTATTTACAAATCGTTTTAAGAGTTATATGCCCAAGTGAATAAAGCTTGCACTTCAAGTATTCAATATGCTAAAGGAAAAGATGTGAAGAGGAAGGGATTCAGTTGGTGACCAACACTTATCGAAACATGGAATTGTATTCTAGATATCAGCCCTATGATTATCCATACCATTATCGATCTCCAAATCTATGCTTCTGAAAGTTTATCTCACCTCGACTCATCCTGTCTCAGAGAGGTTGGTCTATGCCAATGCCCAACTGAGATGAGATTCGATTAGGACATTAGCAAGAAGATCCCTAGTCTCTACCAAGAATAGCCTGTCCTCATAGCACAACTACAATGTCGTGCTTAGAAAGATTATAATGACGAACAAAAAACCCATTGCAAGCCCATCCTGAATCACAGAAACCCCAGAGCTCCAACTTCAGAAAGTGCAGTTCTGATCAAAATCACGTGATCAAATAAACGTTCGTATGCTTCTTGGATATATCCACGAATCAGACGTGCAACAAAACAAAATTCGGTCATGGGACGAGACAGGTGTAGAAGATATGATTGGATCAAGGCAGGTGACTTAACCGCGTCAAGAATCCGGCCAATCATAGTAATCTGTCCATTTCACTATCTCGATGTTCCAGCGTTCTTGTGTTTCGCGGTGGACAACGATTGTCAAGGTTGTATGAGGCGATGTTGGCGAGTACTGTTCCTCGAGTGCTGTTCGGAAATTGGAAAGTTCAACAGAAGCTCTCTTTGGAAGTTGTGCGAGATGGGGAGTCGTGATCTTTGCCTCGACCAATGGCTCCTACCTTAAGGTAGGAGAGGAGCTACTCGGATTAGCTAAACTTATCATAAAGAATTTGCATAGAGATGCGAAGATGAAAGCTATGAAACACATTGCGAGATTAAGACTTCTGTTGAATCACTTATCAAAGTTAACAGCTGCGTCTTAAACACCAACACCTACTTTTGAAACAACTTATCATCACATTATCTTGACCGTGGCCCTGACAAAATGGTATCTTATTCAATACAGTGCTAATTAATTACTTCTTCGACTTCGCCTTGAAAGTTTTCAAAGGGTCTGATTTCCTTCCTTTTCCTCGTCCCTTCGCCTTGTGAGCCGCCCTAGCTTTCCTAATTCTGTTTTCTGTTGTCTTGTGCATTCCGACAAATCCGATATCTCCACCGGTAATTCCTTTCTTGCCTTCTTTTGGGAGGAGATAATCCGGCACATGCTTCAAATGTGCTTGCACTCTGGCAGGTCGTAATTCCCCATCGTGACGAAGATGATACAAGTCGCTTGGGTTCTCTTCAAAATGACGTTTGAGCTTGTCACTCTTCATCAATTCTTGTCTAATTTCTCGAGTTTTTGCTTCCTGGACCGCAATACTCGTAACAGCTCGTAGAGCATCACCCATTCTGTATCGGAAAGCATCTACTTGCTTCATATCAAAATTATATGGTTTAACCTCCTTACCCTTCTTTGCTTGATGCTTGACAATCTTCGCCAAAACTTTCTCGTCGTTCTTCGCCGATTCAATGCTAGTCGGTTTGTGTTTTCGATATTGTTCAGATGGGATAACGAATGATAGTGCCATTCCTGTCTGGCCTGCTCGAGCGGTTCGGCCAATTCTATGGGTGTATGATTTGGATGATGTTGGAAGATCGAAATTAAGAACGCAAGCAACATTCTTGAAGTCAATTCCTCGCGATACCCCGTATTCCTTATCCTTCTTTCCAGTCTTTTGCTTCTTCTTCGAGGGTTGCTTGGTTTCCTTCTTTGCATCCTTTGCGTCTTCTTTCTCTTCACCAGCATCGTCTGCTTCAGCTTCTTCCGCATCCTCAGATTTGGGTTCGTCCTCATCTCCCAAAACTTCGTGCTCATCCGAAGCAATGATGATATCATAAACGTTCTTGTTGAATTCTTCGACGACGTGGATGCGTGAGTTGACAGGTAATTGTGAGTTGAGAATACAACTTCTTGTTCCGAACTGCTCCAAAAATAATTTCAATCGATAACATCTATCGATGTCACCAACAAATATGATACATTTTCCTTTTATAAGTTTCAATTTGAATATGACATATGTTAGAAGGAACTTTTCGTCTTCGGCGCATCTGTTACTTGTTAGCATCCATCGTACAAACAAGTAGCAAAAATCTTACTTCACAACGAATTGGCTAACGCCTTCTCCCTCATCCTCTGCTTCCTCTAATTTCAATACCTCAGGGTTCCTACAGAATAGGCCTTTCAAAGTTTCAACCTCACTCGTCAATGTAGCGCTCATCAAAACAGTTTGAACACCCTTGGGCATGATTTTTGCAACATTTTGCAAATCCTCATCATAACCATAAGATAAGACCAAATCAGCTTCATCAATTACCATGTGTGTAAGATTTGCGAGGGAAAGTGCAGAGGTATTGGCATTTAGAGAAGCTCTCGCAGGTGTCGCAATTACGATATCTGGGGAGTCTGCAAGAAGTGATCGTTGAACTGCATCCGAAACTCGCTGGGTGAGGTTGACTGCCCGGACATCTTTCGCGCAGAAGGCTGTGAAAGATTCAACTGTTTTGTAGACTTGATCTGCAAGTTCTCGAGTAGGTACAAGAATGAGGGCGGTTGTGCATTGGGTGGGTGAAAGCTAAAACGGTCAGTCTATGTGATTACTTCGTGAGACGATTGAAAGCCATACCTCCTTCCTCTTTAATATCGAATGAAGTATTGGTAGTAAGTAAGCAGCGGTTTTTCCAGATCCAGTCTTAGCTCTGGCTAAGATGTCGCGGCCTTCCAATGTGAGCGGAATTGCTTTGCTTTGTACGAGTGTTGGGGATTGAAAGTTTTGCTTTGCGATTCCTTGAAGTAGACGCGCATCCAGTCCTAAACTAGCGAAAGTGACATTCTCTTTTGTGGTATCGGATTCTTCTGTTGGTACAGGAACATCATTGGCATCGAGTTTACGCTTCATGGTTGGGTTTGTGAGTATAGAAATAAAATGATAGAAAAAAGTTGTTTCTTGAAGTTCAATTTGCTTGGACATGAAATTATTTTTGCAACTTATCAGAAGCGGAGCATTCGATAAGGATATTATGTAAGCAATGCCTTTCACTATCCGTGAACATTGAGAATAATTCATAACCATACGCGCATGGCATCCTTCACACGAATATATCACGCACCTAATCGATTGATGGCTATGATCATATGTCATCAAATAATCCAAAAGGCAATATCATCGCTCATTCGAGATATTATCTTTGTACATTCAAAGTGTGCTTTATCCTCAAATTCGTTGAAGCTATTCCGAGATCAAGATTCATGAGTTCATCACGTAGTTGTTTGACTATAGTAAAATCAACGCTTTGCATTCATGGTAGAATCTATCTCGAGCTCTCTACTTCAGGAAGCTATCAAAAAGTTCAGTCTTCGGAAATTGATTGGTAGTAGTACTGCCGTCATCAATTCGCCAAAACACCGACTTTATGAGCTCCATCAAGCATTTCATACGCATCAGCAATACCTCAACTTCCCAAAGTCCAAACCCTCCTAGCCATCTCCTCATCTTTTGGCAATACAACCCATCCAGCAACAACCCATCTCCAATCCCAATTGATCAATGAAGCAACTGTCTGACACCATAGCTTTTGCGCCTTACCAACATTCGTGCCATTAACCCAGCTCGCCCTCCCCATGTATGCCACCACCTTGTCTACATCATTGATTTTTCCCAGCC